AAAAAGTGCTATGATTTTTGGTGGATGTTATGTTCTTTTCGGAAATGCTTCTACGAAATCCAGTAAAATCTCCAAAAGTATCGATCTTTTGTAAGGTACAATTGCTCTCAGCGATTGCAGAAACAATAAATGATTACTCTAATTTCATCTCAATCCTTGGAGCTTGCAAGACGACGGAGCAATTCAAGAAACTTCATTCCCAAAGCATTACGAGAGGTTTAGAACGAAACCCAACAGTCCAAAAGAAGCTTTTGGTTTTCTGGTGTAGTCGTTTAAGTGGCGAAATGGGTTATGCTTGTAAGCTGTTTGTGAAAATACCTCAACCAGATGTGGTCGTTTGGAATAATATGATTAAAGGTTGGTCGAGAGTGGATTGTGAAAAGGAAGGAGTTGGATTGTATTTGAATATGTTGAAGGAAGGTGTGATTCCTGATAGTCACACGTTTCCTTTCTTGTTGAACGGTCTTAAGAGGGATGGAGCTTTGGCTTGCGGTAAGAAGCTGCATTGTCATGTTGCGAAATTCGGATTAGGTTCTAACCTTTATGTGCAGAATGCTCTTGTTCAAATGTACTCTTTATGTGGACTAATGGATATGGCTCGTGCGGTTTTCGACAGGAGCTGCAAAGAGGATGTGTTTTCTTGGAACTTGATGATCTCTGGGTATAATAAGATGAAACAGTATGAAGAAAGCGTAGAGCTTTTCGCGGAGATGGAGAGAAACTTGGTTTTTCCAACTTCTGTAACCTTGCTTCTTGTTCTCTCCGCTTGTTCCAAGGTAAGGGATAAAGATCTCTGTAAAAGGGTTCATGGGTATGTTGATGAGTTTATGAGAGAACCCAGTTTGAAATTGGAGAATGCTTTGGTCAATACGTATGCTGCGTGCGGGGAAATGGATATAGCAGTAAGGATTTTCAGGAGTATGAAGACAAGGGATGTGATTTCTTGGACATCTATTGTGAAAGGGTTTGTTGAGATGGGGAATCTAGAATTGGCAAGGACATATTTTGATCAGATGCCAGTGAGAGACAGAATTTCGTGGACTATTATGATCGATGGTTATCTACGAGCTGATTGCTTTAATGAATCTTTAGAAATTTTCCGTGAGATGCAAAATGCAGGCATGATACCCGATGAATTTACCATGGTTAGTGTTCTCGCAGCTTGTGCTCATCTGGGTGCCTTGGAGATAGGTGAATGGGTCAAAACATACATAGACAAAAACAAGATCAAGAACGATGTTGTCGTGGGGAATGCTTTGATTGATATGTATTTTAAATGTGGGTGTTCTGAAAAAGCACAGAAGGTTTTCCATGAAATGGGTCAGAGAGACAAATTCACATGGACAGCCATGGTTGTTGGTCTTGCCAACAATGGACAAGGTCAAGAGGCGATTAAAGTTTTCTTTCAAATGCAAGAGATGTCAATACAACCAGATGAGATTACGTATCTCGGTGTCCTCTCTGCCTGTAACCATAGTTGTATGGTAGACCAAGCAAGGACATTTTTCGCCAAGATGAGAAGCGACCATGGAATTGAGCCGAGTTTAGCACACTATGGATGTATGGTTGATCTGCTTGGTCGAGCTGGGCAGGTCAAGGAAGCGTATGAGATAATAAGTAGTATGCCAGTGAAACCAAACTCGATTGTGTGGGGAGCTCTACTTGGTGCTTGTAGACTTCATAATGATGAACCAATGGCTGAATTGGCAGCTAAAAAAATTCTTGAGTTGGAACCTGATAACGGGGCTGTTTATGCTTTGCTATGCAATATATATGCAGCTTGCGAAAGATGGGAGGACTTGCGAGAAGTGAGAAGAAAGATGATGGACATAGCAACGAAGAAGACACCAGGCTTTAGTTTAATTGAGATAGACGGTGTTGCTAACGAATTTGTTGCTGGAGACAAATCACATCCTCAATCTAAAGAGCTTTACATGAAACTAGAAGAATTAGCTCAAGAGTCGACATTTGCTGGGCACTTGCCTTATACTTTTGAATTATTGCTCGAGGCTGGGTAAGATAATTTTCACAGAGAGACATTTAGCTGTAACTTTTGAGTTTGTTGCTTCTGAAGCCAGGGATACACAGTTAAGGATTATAGAAAACCCTGAGATGTGAAGAGATCCATAGATTGTCACTGTCAAAGTTGTTGCTAATGCCGTGGATAAGAGACAGCACATGATTCAGCTAATTGTTCAACACAACCTCGGTTAGAGACTGGATCTAGGATTGGAAGCCTACAGGGGAAACTGATATATTTATCTGTTTGTCGGGTTCCAGGAACAAACAGCTGGAAGATCACTCTTTAGGCAAGCATCTGGTGGACCAATCCCGTAGAAGGCAGAATCTGGTTTCACGAAGTGGCAATGTACAGACTGAGATTCGCCCTCTGACCGGGCGGGGTATGAGCACTTAAAGTTCTGATCCTCTACAAGGAGCCTGACATGCACCAATAACCAAAAGCTTCTGGAACTCAGAGCCAAAACTTAATCTAGGTTGCACCTGAAGATCACCAAACTTGGTTTATATGATCCACACAGTTATGTAACTGAATGGTGTCTGCCACTTGAACAAGAGTTGGAGGCAGATCTTGGGCGAAACAGAAGAGAAGCATCGAGGGAAGCGAACGTCTTTATGTAACTGGGCAATTCATTGGACCCTGGCACTGTTCAAAAGGTTGTGGAGTATCTGAGCTATGCTCATTTGTAAAAACTCAACTTTCATTAAATGAATATTTACTGTTTCGCATAAAAAGCCTGACTACTACCGAAACCAATGAACAATTAATAATGCTTAAAGCCTTCACGTGTAATATAGCTTCTCAGACTAAAGATTCCAAACTACAAGAGAGCAAGACATCAAATTGCAATAACTCCAAAGAATACAATGAAATTTGATAAGAATAGGGAGGGATATGTTTTTCCTGAATCACGAACTTACCAGAACTACAGAAAAAACCAAACACTTTTAAGGTCTCATGCATTTGACTAGAACGTCCACAAATCTCTTGTACATGTGCTGCTTCATGTACATCTTCTCAACCTTTTCGCGTCCTTTGCTACCTAGTTGTACCCTTGTAGATGAGAATAAACATTGTTACCTAGCCTCCCCACAGGATGAAGTATCCCTGTATCATTGTGCTCTACTGTCTCTCTTGTTCCTCCTGCGTCTGTTCCAAGCACCTGTCCCCATGAAAACAATGCTTAAGATGAGAATTTTTGTCTCTCAGGAGTGAGAAAACACAAGGTGAAGGAGATTGGTTTTCAATTTAGTTTTAACCTGTTGTAACATAGCAGGGAATCAACCGGCCATAATCATAGAACCAGTCAAAATATTTCTTTGTTCCAATCAACTTGACAGTTCTTTAGAGATGTAAAAGTTGTCCAGCGATTCAGAAGTGAGAACTCTGCTTTGACGAAAACTTTGTTTTCCACATGATTCTCTCCGGATAACACGCACACGCACACACAAGGATATAATAAACCCCCAGGTTATGCCTCTTACTAACATCTGATCAAAATATGTCCTTGCCAGATCTCTATTCCCCCATCTCCACAAACTCTCTGAGACGTATGCATACACATGAACCCTCTCCTACAGGGATCTTTATCCCTTGCCTTATAGCAAGCAGAGAGAAGAAGAAGGTGGAGAAACGCTTTCTTCATGTTTTTAGAAAACACACCCTGTTCTGCACATACAGGTTGGAGCCTAAACTGATATTTCACAACATGGCTTCTCACCACAAGCCAAAGCTCTCAAAACCGCTCAAGACTCTTCAACGAAGAAGGGAAACAAAAGCAGTGGAGTTGCTTAAAAACCAGAAACCTGGTAACAGTTGATTGTTTTACAATATTTTGTCCATGGAACAAGAAGGCAAACAGATTACTAATTGGGTCATCATGTTCAAAGAGCATCACAAAAGAAATCAAACCAAACAACAGAGGTGCTTAGAAAATAAACTTAGAGGTAATTATCAAATGTGGTTGGTTGGTTGTTTTGCACTGAACTTGGAACATAAGAAAAGGCAAACGGGTAAAGATCCCATCTTTGGAGGATAAAGTCTCCTCCATTTCCTATCCGTTACAGTTTTTCTGCCGGCGAAAAGACACGAACATATCCTGAATGAAACTGGCCCGATCATGGGCTCTTAATCTGGGCCAAGACAATTAAGAAGAAGGTTGGGTTCGACCATGTTTTTTTTTTACGAGAGACTCAAAATTACTTTTTTCTCAACAACGTCGAGATTGACCTCTTCGCACTTGTCGGGAAAATGACTCGAGAAAAATATTGGTTCATTTTGCTAAATTTTACTGCTATTTCTGTGAAAATCGGTTAAATATTAATATTGAAGTTACTATTCGATGACTAATGGATAAGATGGATAAGCATGTATAAATGCTTACAACTTCATCGAATATCATATATAAATCGGTTAAAAAATTTAAAATACTAATGGATAAGCAGATATTATTCGATGAAGTTGGAAGCATTTATACATGCTTTATCCATTAGTATTTTGAATTTTTATTACAAATTCATAAGAAGTATTTTTAATCTTAAGCATGCAATTAAGTAACATTTGGACGATACTTAAACACAAACACCTTTTCGATGGTAAAATTTTATAAGTAATCATATCATACAAAATCAACAAGCATGTTACTATTAGCTATAGTAAAAAAAAATGATGGATCTTCTTCTTCCATCTTTTTTCCATCCGCTATTTATAGAGAGCATTGTTAAAAAAATTTCTCTAATTCTCTCGCTCAGTTTCTCAGAAAAATCTCAGAAAAATGGCAAACAATCTCCAAAGACTCGTCGTAAAAGGTAATCACAGAAAGGATCTCTAATTAGGTGTTTTCGTTATCCATATTTGTAGGGATTCCATATAATTGGCTTGCCTAAATAGATATTTCCTTTTAACGATACTTTGTTTTAGGGATTCGTGTTATCTATCTTCTTCTTTTTTAGCGGTTACGGTTATATAGTTGCCTAAATTGTTGAATCTATGTTTGGAAATGGTTTTGTTTGTATCGTTTTCTTTTGGATCTCTACAGAAAATTATGGTTTCATGATGTTGCAAGTCTCACGCATGTTTTTGAGGCATCTAAGATTGGATGGTTGAGCTGTGAAGACGCCATTACTATCATGGCGAGACATGGGGATCTTCCCGTAAGTCACATAAACGCCAAACATCCCCTTAATACCACTGTACTCTATATGTACGGTCATCCCATGTACAAA